GACAAAGCAAACTACCAGGTCCGGGACTTGAACCGTGGTCAGCCATGTGGGAGTGTCCAGTGCCTTAGCTACCATGCAACCTGCTAGTCCCAACTTGCCTTTTTTAAAAAATTATTTGTTTATTTATTCATTTTTATTTTTTAATTTGACCAGAGAGACATACAGAGAGAGAGAGAGAGGGAAAGTGAGAAAGGAGGCCACCAGAGCCGGGACTCAAACCGTGGTTAGCCATGTGGGAGTTTTCAGCACCTTAACCACCGTGCCACCTGCCAGCCCTTTTTAAAAATCATTTTATTTAACTTTTTAATTTATTTATTGTTGATTTGACCATAGAGGGACAGAGCGATCGAGCAAGAGAGAAAGCAAGCCGCCAGGTCCAAGACTCGAACCACAGTCGGTCATGTGGGAGTCTAGCACCTTTAACCACCATGCCACCTGCCAGCCTGCCTTTTTTTTTTTTTAAGAGAGATTTTTGCTAATGGGTACGTGGGCTCGCTGGAGAGAAAGAAAGAGACAGAAAGTGAGAAATTATTCCACGGGGGAATGGCCACATTGCAATCCCTTCTCCTCCAGTCTCCTCTTGGGATTTTGGGCACGCATGTACATGTGTCTGGTGTGTTTTATTTTGTTTTGTCTTTTGGAGAAGTTTTTGCTATAGGGCGCGTGTGCTCGCCAGAAAGACAGAGAGAGACAGAGAGATAGAAAGTGAGAAATCACCCCCCAGGGGGGATGGTCACGTTGCAATCCCTTCTTCTCCATTCTCCTCTTGGGATCTTGGACTCGCACGCGCCTGGCGTGAGTTTAAGCCACTGGGTCCGGGACTCAAACTGCGGTCGACTACGTGGGAGTCCAGCGACATAGCCATTATGCTAACTGCAGGTTCTCCTGGCGTGAGTTTAAAACCACCAGGTCTGGGACTCGAACCATGGTCGACTACATGGGAGTCCAGTATCATAACCATTTTGTCATTGGGACCAGCAGGTGGCGTGGTGGTTAAGGGCACTGGACACTCCCACATGGCTGACCATGGTTCAAGTCCTAGACCTGGTGACTTGCTTTCTCACTTTCCCTCTTTCTCTGTCTGTGTCTCTCTCTGCTCAAATTAAAATAAAAGGAATGAATAAATAAAAATTAAATAAGTATTAAAAATAAATAACCATTACACCATCTGCTGATCCCTCTCTTGTCTTTTTGATTGAAGTTCTGGGGTCCTGGCGATCTCCCTCAACCTGACACAGATCCCCTCCTCCGAGGGGTCGAACCAGTAGCTCCCGCCACCCCTCGGGCTGCCCCGAGAGCCCATCCAGCCCCGCCTGACCAATGTCCACAGCCAGGTAAGCTCTCGCCTCATCCCTTACTCCCCCACCTGGCCTTGAGATCTCCAGGGGACTCAGAGTCTTCCGCTGATCATCCTGTCCCCATGCAGGGAGCAGCCCATCTTCAGCACTCGGGCCCACGTGTTCCAGATCGACCCGGCCACCAAGCGGAACTGGATCCCCGCGGGGAAACATGCGCTCACGGTCTCCTACTTCTACGATGCCACGCGCAACGTCTACCGCATTATCAGCATTGGGGGTGCTAAGGTCTGGGCGGAGTCAGGGAGGGGCGTGGGCGGAGTCAGGGAGGGCGTGGGCGGAGTCAGGTCCTGGCCCTGGTGATGAGCCTCAGTCTGGTCTGGGGTTGCAAAACTCTGAGCTGTTCTGGGCTTCAGGCTGTCCCTGTGAAAATGGCAGAGCAAGAAGCTCTGAGATCCCAACCCAGGGTGGTCCCCAGGGTAGGGGTGGGGTTTCATGGTCTATTTTTAATTTTTTTGGGGGGGAGATTTTTGCTATAGCATGCGTGGGCTCGCCAGAAAGACAGAGACAGAGAGACAGAAAGCAAGAAATCATCCCCCCGGGGGGATGGCCACACCGCAATCCCTTCTCCTCCATTCTCCTCTTGGGATCTTGGGCACGCACGCACACGGGCCCAGCGTGGGTTTAAGCCATCGGGTCCAGGGCTCGAACCATGGTCAACTATGTGGGAGTCCAGCAACGTAACCATTATATCATTGGTTGGACCTCCCCACCACAGCATACTTTCTTCTCTTTTAAAATTTTTTTAGAAAGGTTTTGTTATAGGGTGTATGCACTTAAAGAAAGCAAGAAATCACCCCCATGGGGAATGGCCATGCCTCAATCCCTTCTCCTCCATTCTCCTCTCGAGATCTTGGGTATGCATGCACACGCACCCGGCGTGAGTTTAAGCCACCGGGTCCGGGACGCGAACCGCGGTCGACTACATGGGAGTCCAGAGATGTAACCATTATGCCACCTGTTGGTGGTGGGATTAGAACCGTGTAGAGGGTCATGTGGGATCAAGCGCCTTAACCACCCCGCCCCTGGCTGGCCCCGTGTTTGTTACTTACTCCCATCAGCCTTGAACTTGGCTTCCTTCTCTCCTCACCAGGCCATCATCAACAGCACCGTCACCCCCAACATGACCTTCACCAAAACCTCCCAGAAGTTCGGGCAATGGGCGGACAGCCGTGCCAACACCGTCTACGGCCTCGGCTTTGCTTCTGAGCAGCACTTGACGCAGGTGGGCCTGGGCTTGGGGGACTGGGGTGCAGGGACAGCTGGGTTTAGGGCTTTTCTTGGCCGCCCTGGGGGTTCCGTGGGCAGCTCCCGGGCCTCCATGGCCAGTCACAGAACTGGGTGAGCCAGGGGTCCCTTCCAAGGCGTGTGGTTTCAGTTCCATTTCTGCTTAGTCCCTTGTCCCTCTTCGGGACATCCCGTTGGGTGCCTGGGCTAGGCCGGGCACCTCTCCAGGTGGCCCATAATCCATCATGGCCTCTCTCCAGCCTCAAGTGTCTCTCTCTCTCTGTGTCCTTCTTTTTTTTTTTTTAAATTTGCCCACCAGTGAGAGAGAGAGAGATAGAGAGAGAGAAAGTGAGAAAACATCTCAAAGGGGGATGCCCACGATACCATCCTGTCTCCATTTTTCTTTTGCGGATTTTCGACATGCATGTGCCTGGCATATGGTTTTCTTTTTCTTCTCTTATTCATTTATTTTTATTGCTATAGGGCATGTGTGCTTGTTGGAGAGACAGAGACAGAGAGACAGAAAGTGAGAAATCACCTTCCCCTTAAGCGGGGATGGCCACGCCGCAATCCCTTCTCCTCCAGTCTCCTCTTGGGATCTTGGACACGCACACACATGCACCCGGTGTGAGTTTAAGTCACCGGACCCAGGACTTGAACCACGGTCGACTATGTGGGAGTCCAGTGACATAGCCATTACGCTAACTGCTGGTCCCTAATGTTTTTTTATTTCAATTTTATTTATTTATTCATTTATTTTAATTTGATCAGAGAGAGAGGGGAAGTGAGAAAGCAAGTCACCAGATCCAGGACTTGAACTATGGTTGGCCATGTGGGAGTGTCCAGCACCTTAACCACCACGCCACCTGCTGGTCCCACCTTTTTTTTTTTTTTTATAGAATTATTTCATTTTATTTTATTTATTTCAATTTGACCAGAGAGGAACAGAGTGAGAGAACAAGAGAGCAAGAGAGAGAAGGAAAGTAAGAAACAAGCCACCAGGTCCGGGATTTGAACCACAGTTGGCCATGTGGGAGTCCAGCGCCCCAACCACTATGCCACCTGCTGGCCCCTGGATATAACTTCTTATATATAGCACTTGACCCCTGTGCTACAGGCCCAGCCCCCCCCAAAAAAAATTATTTCTAAACTAAATAAATTTATCTTAAATGGAAAAAAAAAAAGAGTATCGTATCCTGCAGGTGGTGTGGTGGTTAAGGTGCTGGACTCCCACATGGCCTTACCATGGTTCAAATCCTGGACCTGGCAGCTTGCTTTCTCACTTTCTCTCTCTTTCTGGTCAAATTAAAAAGTATTAATAAAAAATAAATAAATGAAATAAGTAAAAGTGGTGTGGTGGTTAAGGTGCTGGACTCCCACATGGCCTTACCATGGTTCAAATCCTGGACCTGGCAGCTTGCTTTCTCACTTTCTCTCTCTTTCTGGTCAAATTAAAATAATAATAGTAAAAAATGAAAAAATGATGAAATAAAATAAAGAAATTAAAATAAAAAGCCTGGGGGACCAGCAGTTAGTGTAATGGCTATGTCGCTGGACTCCCATGTAGTCGACTACGGTTCGTGTCCCGGACCTGGTGGCTTAAATCTCACGCCAGGCGCATGTGCGTGCGTGCCCAAGATCCCGAGAGGAGAATGGAGGAGAAGGGATTGCGGTGTGACCATCCCCCCTGGGGTTGATTTCTCACTTTCTGTCTCTCTGTCTCTCTCTGTCTGTCTGGCGAGCGAAAGTGCCCTATAGCAAAAACCTCTCTAAAAAAAAATAAAAGGTCCCTTCCTACGTGACAGGGCTGACACTGGGGGTGGGGACCTCAGGGGAGGGCCGAGAGGCCATGTGTTCACTGACTGTTTCTCCCCTCCCCACCTGTCGTCTGCTCCCAGTTCGCTGAGAAGTTCCAGGAAGTGAAGGAAGCAGCGAGGCTGGCACGAGAGAAATCTCAGGATGGCGGGGAGCTCACTAGTCCAGCCCTGGGACTCGCCACCCACCAGGTCAGCTTTCCCTGCACCCCCAAAACCCTTTGGGCACCCCTAGGTCAGCCAGGCACTCGACACATATTAGGGAGTAAGCCACCGGTACCTAGGATCCAGTACTCACAGATGACATAAAAGCAGACTGCAGCGGGACCAGCAGTTGGCGTCATGGCTACGTTGCTGGACTCTCATGTAGTCGACCGCGGTTCGAGTCCCGGACCCGGTGGCTTCAACTCACGCCGGGCGCGTGTGCGTGCGTGCCCAAGATCCTGAGAGGAGAATGGAGGAGAAGGGATTGCGGTGTGGTCATCCCCCCGGGGGGTGATTTCTCACTTCCTGTCTCTCTGTCTCTCTCTGTCTTTCTGGTGAGTGCACAAGCCCTATAGCGAAATCCTCTCCAAAAAAATTAAAAGCACACCTGTAGCTTGGGCTGGCAGGTGGCATGGTGGTTGAGACACTAGATTCCTGCATGGCTGACCATGGTTCTAGTCCCAGACCTGGCGGCTTGAAAATCACACCGGGTTCTTGTGTGTGCGTGCCCAAAATCCCCATAGGAGAATGGAAGAGAACGGATGGTGGCATGGCCATCCCCTCTGCCGGGGGATGTGTCACTTTCTCTCTCCCCGTATCTATCTCGAGAGGACAGAGATAAATAAAAGAATAAAAGAAGCCCCATGGCGGCGAAGACCAGGGAGGGGCCTGGGAGTGCCATAGATGTTTGTAAGGAGGTCTGGCCTGACCTGGGGTCAAGAGGGCACTTAGTGGGATCAGTAGATGGCGTAGTGGTTATGTCACTGGACTCCCACACGGCCGACCATGGTTCGAGTTCCGTACCTGGTGCCTTGAAACTCACACTGGGAGGGTATGGGAGGTGGTGTGGTGGTTAAAGGTGCTGGACTCCCACATGATCAGCTAGGGTTCGAGTCCCGGACCTGGCAGCTTGCTTTCACACCTTCTCTCTCTCGCTTTAGTTCTCTCTCTCAGTCTGTCTGTCTCTGCTCAAAAAAAAAAAAAAAAAAAAAAGGGATCAGCAGGTGGCGTGATGGTTGAGGCGCTGTACACTCCCATGTGGCTGACCACGGTTCAAGTCCCGAACCTGGTGGCTTGTCTGATGAAATTTTAAAAAATTAATGGATAGGCATCAGCAGGTGGCGTGGTGGTTAAGGTGCTGGACACTCCCACATGGCTGACCATGGTTTGAGTTCCAGACCTGGTGGCTTGCTTTCTCACTTTCCCTCCCTCTCTTTCATGCTCTTTGTGTCTCTCTGTGGTCAAATTAAAATATAAATGAATGGATAAATAAAATTAAATAAATACTTTTTTTTAAAAAAAGCAATGAATAGGGACCCGCAGTTAGCGTAATGGCTATGTCGCTGGACTCCCATGTAGTCGACTGCAGTTCAAGTCCTGGACCCGGTGGCTTAAACTCACGCCGGGCGCGTGTGCGTGCGTGTGCAAGATCCCGAGAGGAGAATGGAGGAGAAGGGATTGCGGTGTGGCCATCCCCCCTGGGGG